TTCGCTGCAGTGCAGTGCAACCCAATGTTTATTTTGGAATACGGCCAATTAAAAAAAAAAGAAATTATTATGCATTATTTTCTTTTTGTTTCTTATTAAATTTTTCTTTTACATTTTTACAAATACCTACATGTATTTTGTTTATTTTTCAAAAATTTATTATTGTGATAAAAATTCGTTCACGGAACTGCTAAATGAGGTTTTAATTAAAAATTAATTATTATATTGTTGGGAAAAAAAAATTTTAGAGGTTTTTACATTATTGTTTTTTTTTACTTTTAAAGTTTATCTTAAAAATAAAATATTTACCTTGTAAATATTTAGATGATAAAAATATTTGTTAGAATATTGTAATATACTTAAATAAATAATACATAAATTGTGAACATAAAACATACATAAAAACATACATATGTACATATATAGGAACACAAAACCTCAAATGAATTTTAAATATCTGTAATATTTGTGTAAATATTTATGTAAAATTTTATTAAAATAAAATTTATTTAGTTTAGAATTTTTCAATGTAATTTCATCTAAAGGAATGCAGGTACAACGAATGTTTTGCATAATTTAACGTACACTTGTAAATAATATCGAACTGAAATTAAGTTTTTTTAAATTTTAATAATTTAAGGCTCAATAAATTTGAAAATTATTAATTCTTTATTTCAACTATATGTGTGAAATGAAATGTATCAGAACAAAATATTTAAGTTCAACTACATAATTTGGGAGCTGCGCGGTTATTATTATAGATTTGAGGTTATAGGATAGATTCACTTTAATATTGATAATTAAATTTGCAAAAAGCAACAAAATTATTTTTAAATTACCATTGATTTCAATTAAACTAACATACATTTCAACTTGGTGATAACGATATTAAACATTAAACAATATTTGACCAATCGGCATATCGTACGAAAACCAGCCCTAACAAAGTCGAGACCCTTACTAAAAATTTTAAACTTTCACTAAATGACATACATATGCTTTCACTCATTCTTTGAGCCTTCAAAAAGCCATTTCAACAAATATTTAAATTTTGATAAGAACAAAATTAGCTTGTTCAGTTGGGTATTGCAGATTCTGTTGAGAATGAAGGGAGGTCCCTAATTCACCTTCTCAATAAGTGCAGAATACTAATGCGTGAGAGGGGGGCAGTTTGTGCAGACTCACATAAGTGAGCATATCGTTGCGGAATATTTTTCCTTAAGAGATACTTGGATACTTGAAAAAAAAAATTAAATTTCCGAAAAATTAATTTTGCACCAATAAATTGGAAGTAAATTCATTTAAAATAAAAATTTCTAATTGTGGAAATTTGTAAATTTCACTTTTCTTTTTTTCATTTTTTTTTTTTTCGTTTTTTGAATAAATCCAAAAATAATTTTCAGTTGTTTTAATTGTCCTAGATTTCATTAATGTTTCATTTTGAATAAATGAATCACCACCAACTCGTATCAAATTTATTAATAAATTTTTTCGTATAAATGACAAAATAAAAATTAAAATTATTATCTAATCATACCAACCATTCACTTAAAATTTTAAAGACACAAAAAACAAAATTATTCTTTTTATTTTTATCTTTATCAATTTCAATTTTTTTTTATTTATTTTCCTTTTTATTTTTGTTAATTAATTTAATGTGCACTTAAAATTATTCAAAAATTTAATAAAAGAAAAAATTAAATAAAAATAATAAAAATAGTAAACTACTTTCACCTTCGAAAAAGAAAGAACTCATTCAGTGGCATTAAACGAAAAACAAAAAAAAACACAAATATTTTCTATTTAAGAAAAGTAAACAGAATAAATATAGAAAAGAAAAACGGTTCGTCTAAAATACTTTCTGTCTCTTTTGTTTTAGTTGAAAGATCATTTCAGAAATGACATAAAAACGTAAAATATATAACACAAGCCTCACACAGAGTCGACATCGACACCATTGTAGCCACTCAAAAATTTTTTCTGTATTTTTCTTTTTTTTTATATATATTTTATTACTTTTTATTATTTAAATACCAAAAATTAAAAACGTATATATATTTAAATAAAAATAATAATAAAATAAATGATATTATCCTCTATTCTATTCTATTTATGTTTTATCTCCCTCTAATTGCTTAAGAACATGAAAAAAGAACAAAACTAACAAAAAAAGTCACTCACCGACTGGGATTCACGCCAAAAATAAAAATTTCTTCGCGATTCATCTATTTCCCAAAATTTTTTAATTTTATTTTTTTTTTTTTGGATTTAATTTCTATACAAGAAAAAATTAAAAAAAAAAATTTCCTTCTCAAATGAGAAAGAAGAAATTGTTGTTCTTTTATTCTTTTTTTTTTTTTTTTTAAATTAAAATATTTTTCATAACATTCATTTTTATTGTATAGAATAAAAGTTGATGGCAAAAGTTTGATTCAGATTAATAAAAAAAAATTTTTTTTTTGCTCGAATTAATAATAAAAAAAAAAATTATAACTCATTAAAAAATAAATAAAAAAGGATATTTAGTATGGAAACAAAAAAATTGTACAATTATCTTGGTGATTATGTTCTAGGCCTAAATGGATCCAGTATGCAACATGCCATAGTCAAAAAAAAAAAATTGGTTTGTTGAATAACACTATCGAACGGGATTCGAATTTCAAACTTCATATGCGCATTATTTGGTATTTGAACTAAAAAAATTTCTTTCATTCTTTTCGACGTTTTACGAGTATACCCAGAGCATCATTACCATACTTTTATAACAACAAATATAGGTTATAATAAAAGCGCTTTCATGTATAGGTACTCCAAATGCAATAAAAACGGCCTCGGTTTCTGTACAACATTGAGGAGTAAGCATTTTCTTATAGAGAAATTATACTTAAATTTTTAATAGCTATAATTCTACAAATATTTTGGGAAAACAATATTTGTTCAAATAGATATAATGGAAAGAAATGAGTTAATTATTTAACATATGTAGTTTTCGGTAGATTTTGCCAACAAAATGATTTTTATTTACCTATAGGTTTTGAAATTTTAAACTGACTAAACAATAAATATTAAAAATTTTCTCGCCTACATTCGCAATAAAGTATTAACGTAGATAAGCAGTATTGAATTAAAATAGTCTACTTTACAAAAACTAGTTGACGAATTACATACATACTTATTTGGTTTGTGTTATCAAAAGTTTATTAAATTAATTGTTATTAAAAGTATAATTGAACATTTTTACAAGCAATCGAAAATATTCACATTTTTTTGTGTTGGTACTAAAACAACGTGGTTCAAATGAATATTATGAACATACAAGTTCGTTAATACATTAGTTATGTACGAGTTCGACTCTTTTTACAAAAGCCAATAATGCAATAAAAAGTACAAATTTATATTTTTGAATTTTTAATTAATTTTAACCACAAATTAAAAAAAAATAAATACATGTATACAACGTATATATATATTGCAATAATCTCTTTGACTAACAACATGCTAGTCGGGATTCTAATATTGTATATAATTAGAACATCAAAAAGAAACTTGAAATTTAAATGGAAAATTTCATTTCATGTTAAAAATTTATCAATTTTTAAAAAATTATTTCGAAAGAATAATATATTAATTATATGATCACGTATATATATTTACACAATATACATACTTACGATGTATGCACGTAATATATGAGTATTATATTTTATGTATTAACATATACACACAGTATGTACATACTATTAAAATACCATTTTAAAAATAGATTATTTGCAATTTATGGGTTTAAAGTATTTGAGAGAAAGAAAAAAATTTCATTTAAATTTTAGTAGAGAAAATTGTCCTCATCACGTTTTCAAATTAGTCAAAATAAATATTTTATTTATTTTTCTATTTATTTTTCTCGTGGATATTTTTTTTTAATATTTAATTTTAAATTTTTGCTTTTTTTTTTGGCAAAGAGTTATGACATTTAAAAGATTATAAATGAATGTTATTCGTATATGAAAATGTATATATAAGTGGCGATGTATGTGCGTAAAATAAAATTTATATATAAAAATAAATCGTTTAAATTTTTGATATTCTACTTTAATATTTTAAATTTCAATATTTTGTGGCATTAAAAATGTCAGAACAATTTTTACCTTGTTCAGTTTAATAATTTATAAAATGAAAATATTCAAATAAGGTTATAAAAATTTTCTATCAAATTAATTATTAAAATTTATGATTCTTAACGGAAATTAATTTTATTATAAAAAATTTCAAATAGACTAATTAAATTAATTTTAAAATTAATAAAATGCATAATTAATAAACGTAAATTCAATCGTTTATAATTTGGTTCAAATCGCTTTGTTTACAAATACGGCATGACTCCAACTATTTGTTGCGTAGTCGTCAACTCTTTTCTCACTTTTTCATTAAAAAATGAAAAAAGTCTGTCGTACAAATAAGCTGTCAGTGAATTTACTGAAACGAATGCATTTCAGAAAAACTATTAAGTCATTTTCAATTGAAAATTTTCTTTTTTCAGGTGAAATTCACCAATACAAAAAAAATGTAAAATAAAAATTTTCGACTCTCGAAAGAAGTTGAATGAATTACAAGAAACCATTCGATTTCGAAATTTTGAAAATGAATTTTTGCAAACGAATACGCAACCGCGATCAAAGAATTTAGACTCAATATGAACGCAAAGAAAATTTCACTATCACAATATGCAATTGCAACTGTAAACAACCACTGGCCAAAAACCTACAGCAAAAAAACTAATTTTCGTTCAATACCTTAAATCCAGTATTATCCAAGTCAAATTTTTTATTATGTATTTAAAAATCAATATTAAATTAATTATAGATTGAACAAGTAAAATATTTTATAAAATATTTTTAAATTAATTTGCTTTAATTTATTTCTTTCCATTGCGTGTAATCAAAGAAATTTATTAGATGATAAAATAAAATCATAATAAAATAATTAATAAAATGGTTACTAACCTGATAAGTATTCCATTGTTGAACTAAATGATCATAACATAATTGACAAGATTGTATCATACCGCGTGGATCAATTGGTCTTGAACGTGGTGGTCTAGGATGTGGCTCCATAAATATTGGAAAATAAGGACGATTTGCTTGCAAACTTTTTTTATCCTTTGGTTCTGTTGTACCAATTTCAATTAAACTGCCACGACGTTGTTCTTCACCACAAACATAACATACTTCTGTTGTAGCATTTTTATCTGGCATTGATAAATCTAAAATACCAACATCAATTTGTGGAGCAGTCGCTAATGGATTTGGAGGTTGTGGTTGTGCTTGAAATGTTGGATGTTGTAATAATCTTGGTGAAGAGTGTTGTGATGAATTTCTCAAATCAAGAACACCCTCATCTTCTGGTGGACTAGTTACTAATGGTGCTGTTTGATTTGAAGTAGTACCAGTAGTTACTGGTGCAGGAGCCGGTGACACCATTTGATTTCCATAATAAGAGTGTGATTGTTGTGAATGTTGTAATTGTTGTTGTTGAGAATGATGTTGCTGTGTTTGCTGTTGTGGCTGTTGATATTTATTATTTAAAGATTGATTTTGATAATTTGACTGTTCAGTAAGTGAAGATGGTTGTTGCATACTAGAAGGATTATTACTATTATTGTTATTATTATTGTTTGCTGCCGGCGATACAGATGAATTCATATAAGGAAGTTGTCCTAATTTTAATTTATGATGAGCAAATGACGATTTTATATTTAATCCATCATAAGAATTTACAACACGTTGTTGTTGTTGTTGCTGATGCAATTGCTGTTGCAATTGTTGTTGTTGCTGCTGTAATTGTGCTTGTTGGTGTTGAAGATGATGTGGAGAAGGACTTTGCTGTGGCGCTGGCAGAACATTTTGTGGTGATTGATGATCTCTTGATTGTGGGCGACTTTGAGACTTATTACTAATATTTGGATCAATGCCATTATTGTTGTTGTTATTATTTCGACTTGATGGTCTTGAATTTGAGTATCCTTGCGAAGGATGTTGAGGTTGCCCACTTTTAAGTGAATTATAATAATCTAATTTTCCGTGTGGGGATTCATTTCTTGATGTTGGGCGTAATGGTGATTCATTACGTATTGTCTGTTGTTGTTGCTGGTAATAGTCTCTCGAAGTAGGTCTTTGAGGTGGCGGAGGCCCAGGTTGCGGTGTAACTGGATATTGAGAAAACGCTGGAAAAATAATAATTATAAATATTAGGAAAGCAAAATTTAAAATAATATCAAGAAACTTTAGTACTTTTTGATGAAAGTTAGTAAAAACAAATAGTTAAGTAGAACTTACCATTATAATTAATGTGACTGCCACCGCCACTCTGTTGCGTTAAATGTTCCGCTGACAAACCTAACATTTGAGCGGCGTATTCACCTTGTGTTGTCATATCAGCACCAATAAAAGGCTTTCCATCCATACGTTTCATATGGTAAATTCTTTGAATATGTGGTTTCCCATCACGCTCATAAGCATCCCATTGTTCATTTAACATCATATAACACAGTGTACAAACCATTACGTAATGATGATTTGGAGGAAGTTGTGGAACACCTGCTGGTGGTTCATGACGTTCAATGAAAGGAAAAAAAGGTTCTTTTGGACGTTCCGGATTTGGTCGTACACGAATTGGTTCATAACCTTTGGGACCACCACAAACATAACAACGTGCAGCATCTTGTTGTTGATATTGTTGATGCGTTTGTTGTTGTGGTGGTGATGTTCTCATACTATGTTGAATATGATGTGGCTGTTGATGTTGCTGTTGTGGTTGCGATTGATGATGTTGCTGTTGTTGCTGCTGCTGGGATGATATTAATGAACTTTGTGATTGCTGCTGTTGTTGATGTGGGTGATGCAATTGTTGTGAGGGATAGCCAACCGGTGATGACATATGATGGTTTGGCTTATATGCACTATTTTCTGATGTATGATGTTGCATTTGCTGTTGTTGCATTGCATTGTTATGATATAAATAACTTTGATGTAATTGCTGTTGGTGTTGTTGTTGTTCAATGGAAAGCGGTGTTTGTCCTGGAGTTGAATTTGCTGATCTTGAATTTTCTTGATTTTGTTGATAACTAATTTGCTGTAGACGATGTTGCTGTAGTTGTTGGTGTTGTTGTTGCTGATGATATAGCTGTTGTTGTTGTTGTTGAGTTAATGGGCCCCCGCGTAATTCATTTTTTATGTAGGCTTTCGCCTTTTCCATAATAATCTATAAAACAAAAAATAGTAAAATTAATTTTTTAAAATTAAATTAATCGAATTTAAAAAAGTATTTGAAAACTACAGCCATTATAAAATTTTTTTTTTGTTTTTTAAGTTCTGTGACAGTTTCATAAAAGTTTTTTAAGGTTACTTAGAGTAAAACAAAAAAGTTTACTTTAAAAGCCAACATTTTATTGTTTAGTTTATTCTGTTTTTATTTTTCATATCACGCAGAGAAATTGACACTCAAACAGTTCTTCCACATAATCATTTTTCACACATTCACACATTCAAAATCTCAATCTTTCAATATTTTTCTCGAAATTCAAAGAACAACGATTTGAAAAATCAGATTTAATAGCTAACTACTTGCTATTTTGTATAATTTTTGGAAATCTTTTATAATAAATCATATTTAAAAGTGAATAATTCGAACAGACTTTGTTACGCATTGATTTCTATTTTCAGCGGTCATTTTCTTTATTTTTTTTAATAATAAAAAAAACTTTTATTATGTAATTTTCATAGTTACATGTTTTTTATTTTATATTTCTGTAAATATACAAATACTTTATGATTTTGCTAATAATCTTTTAGAAATTATAATAATCGCAATAGTAATTACAAGAGGGAAACCTAAGTGTTGTAAGACATCAAATTAAAATGTTTTTCTTTTAGTCGTTCCTATAATATGTATGTAAACAATTTAAGTTAGAAAGAACTTAAATAAGAATTTTTTAAACTATTTATAGGAGGCAATGACGAAAAAAAGCCCCACGCAAAATATAATAAAAATATGAAAAGCAACACTGAAAAAAAAAAATTTTCATTTTTGTTATTGTCTTTGTTTTTCTTATATAAATTTCACTTTTACAGAAAATTTTACATTTTCAACAAATTAACCAACTCATAAACTATAACTACCTTTGTAAGGGTAACAAATAAATGAACTTTTTACCAATATATGTATGATATAGTAAAGTGCTTATGTTTTACACACAACAATGAAAACATTTCTATGATTTCTATGTTTATTATTACCCAGTCAATACATTTCTATTTTTGTGCTTTATTGAAAACACTTAACTTCAATTGGCTTCCATCCCATATTTATTCACATAAAATGTGTTCATATACACGTACATACATATATAATGTATGTAAAATTATAACCGGCCACATTAAGTAAGTCTAGTGTTAACTGGCTTAAAAATAAAAAGTCAAAAAGAAATGCAAATTTTTTTTTTTACACACTGCACAATTTTTATACTTATTTAACCCAAATTTATTGATTTTTTAGTTGTTTGTTTTTTTTTTTTTACAATTATTTATGTGCTTGTAAATTACTTTTTTTTTTTAAACGTATGGTGCGGCACACTTCGATGTAATTTATATGCAAAGTAAGCGTAAAAAAAATTTTTTTTTATTTTATTTTTTAGTTCAAATTTTACGATTTATTTTATTAATAGTTACATATTAAACTACCGGAAGTATTTTCGGGTTTATAAAAATGTATGAATGAAAACAGAAAAAGACAGGTGAGTTTCCATGTATATACTCGTACGAATAACCCAATTTCATGAATTTTAAATTTTATTTAGGAAATATCATTATCATGCAGTCCACAAGATCATTTGTACCTTATATACTTATTTATTGGGCACATGTAAATTGTTAATGAAGACATTATTATTAAACAAAAAAATCAGAAACTATTTTCAAATCAACTACAAAGTATAGCAGCTTTCCGTATGATTAAAGAAACAGAAGCTATATAGTATGCAGCTATAAATTGATAAATAATTTCAAGTAGTAAAATCTACTTAATTAAAATAATCATATAAAATCCGCTATGTGAAACTAACACTTCTGGAACTGGATCCGAGCCATTTGTTTGTTACATATCGCTTGCACAATTACTAATTAATGAATACTATATGCGATTCAAAACTTCAATTTTCAATACTTTGCTATAAAGAATTTTAAAAAACTTATTCCCGAAAGTATAAGATCTTCATATAAAGTACGTATAGATTTTGTACTAAATATCGTAATAGTTACAATAATTATCGGCATTATATAATTGCGTTTTTTTGCATAAATTTGTGGTGTAAATAACAAAAGGAAGACAAAAACAACAAGAAAACTTTAAACACCCTTTAAAAATCATTACCACTTTACGATTTTCCTCCTTTATTTTTTATTTATTCAAATTTCATACACTTCCATAAATATATTTGCAAATTTCTTTAAAAAAAAAAAAAAACAATTCATAATATTCAAACTTCATTAATATTAGGTGAGTTCATTCCATTTTTGCTCATTCTTTTGCTCATACTTACACTTGTTCAATCACTTCACTCCTTATTCAATATGTCAGTGATTTAAATTATAACACCATTTGTTCTTCTATCTAAATTGCATACCTTAACGCATTAAAGTCAATTGATTCTTTGAACAGAGTAAGTTTAAATCAAGACAGAAAACTTAAACTTTGTTATTTTGTATTTTCCTTACAAACATACATACATATATGTATACGTATAAATACTTGTACGTAATATTGAATGAATAACAAGAGTTTAAAAAAAAATATCATAAGCCTTTTGGCATTATGTAAGAATATTTAAGTTAAACACCAACTTAAAATAAAATATATACATATGTATATAAGTATGTATTTATGTATACTTGTTTATGCAAATGTTAAATAAGCACTTGTTCTTATAAAAAATAAAGATATAAAAAATAATACTTTTAGAAACCCTATAAATTATAACGTATGTATATACATTTATGTATTTAATATATGTATGTATAACAATTAACGGAATATAATAACTTTTACTCATATAATGCAAATAATATGTTAATTTTCCCACTGTTTGCAATGCATTAACATCAAGAATGCATAAGATATATGTACATAAATACTTAAGTATATTTATATTAGATGCATATATATTATGTTCATGATTATATATAAATATTATATTAATGATACACCTACATATTTATTTTATTTCTTTGTATATGTATATTATTGTATGTATGAGGGATTGAGAAAATTTTCAGTTGAAAATTTTCAGTTGAAATTCAGTTACTATCATTTACATTATGAACTAATTACATAATTATTCATTGGCATACTCTCATAAATCGTAACGCTCTTCATATTTCTAATATAACTGTAGTTTTTCCTAATTTTAAATAAATATTGTCAAATTAAAGTTTTCAACATAAATTGAATTTTCAATTCAAAATGAATTTCTGTAATGAATATTATCTATGTAAATGTAATTTAATGTTTCCACTAACTATGAAATGAATTTCTTAATTATTGGTGATAGATTGTAGAAATTTAACTATGACATATGTACTTAAATATGTCATTGTGAATGATTAAAGAAATTTATTTATGCGATATAAGTAAATGTGGATTTGACACGTCAAATGAGCCGCTAGTATATTGCTTTATTATTTGTCAATAATTAATAATAAAGATAAATTTGTACTAAACCGAAAAGTTCGGATCTTAAATTTGTGTTAATTGTTATTTTCTTCAACTTAATAATCATTTCACAGATTTATCATTATCAAATTCTAATATACGTAAATGAATTTGCAAAGCAACTTTTAATTCATCAATGCAGAACTGGATGAAAATTTTCCATGTTCATGTTATCAGAAATTCTTTTTAATAATAATATACATAAGTGCCTATATATGTATAAATGTAAAAACGTAAGTATATATTATTTTATATCTGATGTTATGGAAGTCATCAAACAACCTTTTGATTAAAACAGCGTAAAAGGAAAGGAAGAGTAAACGTTATAATAACAAAGCACGTTAACATATGTATATGTATGTACATGTGCTATTATAATTATTTAAAGATTCTAATAACACATTTTTACCGCAGCTTGTCAATCACATGAAAATTCAATTTGTGAGTTGAATTTTAAAAGAAAATTATTTTATATAAAGTTAGTTTAAAACTGCAGAAAGAAAAAAAATTAAACTACATACTTAGATATGCACCTACATACATACATACATATATGAGTGTGATGTGTATAATTTCAAAATACATACTTATATACAGCAGTAGCAGTATAAGAGAAATAAAGATAAATAAAAAAAACTTTTCAACAAACAATATAAAAGAAGAAACGGTAGGTACTTTGGTTTTTGTTGCATTTTTAATTGGAAATATGATTGCAGTTGGTGTCGTTTACTTTTTATTTTTTTTTCTTCGTATCAGGCTCAGACAGACGACATTATAGACATTTTGATTATTCCATTGTGAATATTTTCAATTGTGTAATTTTTGCGTCTTAAACACAATAAAATAAAGTTAAAATGAAATAGTTTAAAAAAGACGAAATTAAGAACGCGTGCTTACATTCTTAAATTGTAATACAATTTAATATTATTAAATTGTTAATTCATATACATATGTATGTATGTATATACGCACACATAGGTACACACAATTTGTGTTTTTTTTTAATTTTTGACTAAATTTCAAAGCTACTTACTTTAAAAATTAAATCAGTTAACAATTGGAGCAAATAAATGAGCCGCATAAACACATAATAAAATTTACTATAAGTATAACAAATTGTAATCCTTTCAAAGTGGCATATAATATGTGTGTAGCTATGTTTGTATGTAAATGAGAAAATAAAGTAATAGTAATGAATTAAAGAATAAATAAATCTGCTAATTGTTACGCATTTTTAAAATTTCCTTTTTTAATTTAATTTACTTCAGCTATAATTTGTAATACGCATATATTTATATTAATATATGTACGTATACATATGTACCTAAACAATTCTCTTTATTTTATAAGAGGATAAATAAAATTAAATTTCATTTAACTGAGATTACTTATAAAAAAAATTCTATAAAATTGGAGACTAATGGAAAAGAATGAATTGAAATAAGTAATAGGAATATTGCTAATTATAATATACATAAGTAATCCAATTATACTTT